GTGCAAGGAGGATTACCCCAGGGATCATGTCTTTCACCACTACTTTTTAATATCTACACCAAAAGACTCCATCAGGTAGGGGACTGCAACACACAAATCATGCAATTTGCCGACGATTTTATATTGGTGTCACACGGGTATAACTATGCGGCCGTAGTTGCAAATCTGAAAAACAAATTAAACGATTTTAGCCTATTATGTGGCGATCTGGGTTTCAGTTTCAATCCTAGCAAATCTGTGATTATGAACATGGGAAGGGAAGGTGGAAGGTCTCTGAACATAGAAGTTAAAAATGTTCTAATACCTGTGTAAAAAAGCTTTTTGTTTCTAGGTAGGCTTATAAGTTCTAACATGTCCAATACCAGTCATATAAAAATGGTAAAAGAAGTAACTAGGAAAAGCAGTAGGCTTATACAATTAGCGACAACTATCAAGTCGGGACTGAAACCTAAGACTAGCGTTAATATCTTCAAATCATTTATAAGAAGCAAGCAAGAATATGCAATTACCAGCTTCTCTGACATGGGAGTTGGGTCCAATAAAGACATGGAAATTGCACAGGCAGGAGTGCTGAGAAGATGTGTAGGTGTGCCTCCTGATACAAGCAAGCACGAAATCTTTGTGTTGGCGGGTATAATGCCTCCAAGTTTCAGGGCTAAGTGGCTTACAGCCAAAGAACTTTTCAAGGTCAAGAAGCTGAATCCCAGGATGTTCGATAGCATAAGACGATCAAAAGCAAAGACGAGTTACACTTGAACCTTAGAAGAATTTAAAACTTTCTTCGACAATTCACAAAGCTGTGATAATTATAAACACTGTAAAAAGATTAATGTAAGAGAAAAAGAAATGACAAAGAACAAAGAAGAATACTCGAGGGAGGAAATCAGAGCCAGATTCTCTGAAATCTTGGAAAAATATTCAAAAGAAGGCTGGAATATTCTGTCCACAGATGCATCGGTCACCCAGTGGAAATATATATAAATATAGAACAGTTAATAGGCTTTCATCTGTAGGGGCCGAACTGATAGGTATTAAAAAAGCGAGTGAGATATGTGCCAATAATGGATACAAGAAAGCTGTTATTTGTTGTGATGGTCTAGGAGCGATAAAACTAGTAAACAATGAACAAACAGACTCATACATAGTAAGAGACATTCACAATATTATCGACACATCAGGCATGCAAAAACTGGATATTCTATGGATTCCAGGGCACAAAGGGGTAACGATAAACGAAAAGGCTGATACGGCAGCAAAAGACGCCATACAAGAAGGGGAAACCATTTACATTCAATTTAGTGTGAAAGAAGCCTTAAGAGAAATTAAAAACTCCTTAGAACACAAGTGGAACGAGGAGTATAAACAAAAATGTAGTATCAAGTGCACTAGTTTAATCGAAATCTTTCCAAACATATCCAAAAAACCATGGCACTATAATTTAAAATGGAATGCAAAAAGCATAAAGACAATAAACAGACTGATGACAGGACACACGTACGATAAAGCCTTTCTATACAAACTTAAAGCGATTGATTCGGATATCTGTGAGTCATGTAATGTCACAGAATCCGCTGAACATCTGCTTTTTAAATGCCAAAGATTCGTCCGTCTTAGGGGTAAGTATCGAATTTTTAAATATTATAAGGATCTAAATGAACTCTTGATCAAAAAAGAGCCACTCCACCTCAGAGAACTGGCACAGTTTATAAAAAGCGCTAATATGGACTTTTAAGCATTTTGTGATAAATCATTTTAGATTAATAAAGTATAGGGAAATGACTTTTAACGCCTGTCAAGCTCGCTGACAGGAAGTCTGTACAGGCCAAAAGGGGAGGCCTGTTATAAAAAACACAAAAAAAAATATATATATAAAAAAAAAATTACAAAAAAGATACAATTTTCACAAACAAGTTTTTAAACAATACTTTCGGAGGTTTTACACTCTTCGAACTCAAGATCTCACTAAACACATATTCTGGAGACACACCTTGGGCCCATCAAGCGTCCGAAACTGAATAATCGGACAATAAGTCATACACCAGTACCTGATCAATGTGGCAACACAGCTGCGATCAAACCCCTGTCATCCATGCGATGATTTAATCAAAAAAAAAAAAAATAGTTGGCGGCAATATATCTATATTGCCAACTATATACATACATACATATGTGTATATATACACATAACGAACATACGAAAAAGTTACCAGTTACCCTTAAGCTTCCAACTCTTACGCAAGAAGATTCGAAAGGCTCTTTCGTCAGTAGCCCCGTCAGCTCTCGCTACTGCACCACCATGGCTCAATCCGCCACCTCTGTCGCTCGGACCAAATTGGTCGCCGCCATTGGCCGACTGTCTCACTTGGCAGAGCGCATCACTGCCGCACCATCCGCCTCTCTTTCCGAGGTCCTCCGAGGATAAATCCTCAATATGTGGTCGGATCCAGCAAGGATCCAGCAATCCAAGCTGACATCCGGGAAGAGTACGGAGAATGCTATGGAGCATTCGAACAATGCCTCAGTGCCCTCAATGTTCAGTTGTCCACAACCACAGTCCATCCTCCTGCACAGACGGTCCAACAGGGCGGCTGTCGACTGCCTCCCGTCAACATTAAGGTTTTCTCAGGGCACTACGTCCGCTGGCCCACATTCCGGGATCTGTTCCCTGCGGTCGTGATTAATAATCCAAAATTATATCCGGTAGAGAAATTGTACTACCTTACCGAGAAGACCAGGGGCGATCCAAAGGCCATCGTAGAGAAATCCGCCCTTACCAATGACGGTTTCGAGTCCGCATGGTTAGCTCTCCGTAGCCGATATGAGAATTATCGGCTTGTGGTTACCAACCAGATACCAACTTGCCCCGCGTAACTTTCGAGTGCAGTCGTGCTTTGAAGGATCTGCAAAGTACGATGCAGTGGGTCATAAATGCACTAAGTGTCTCCAACGTCTGCACCGACAATTGGGATAGTCTCCTAGTGACCATCTGAGCTTCCAAATTGCCGAAGTTGAGCCGGGCGTTGTGGGAAGCATCCGTAACGGACAAAAAGGAGGTGCCGCCCTGGAAGGAAATCGACTCCTTCCTCACTCAGTGATACCTAACGCTAGAGGCTATCGAGAGCAACCCTTCCACTTCACAAGGCGCTCCGAATCCGCCACCCGCCAAAGGCAGTCAGAATCCGCCATCCTCCCGAAGCCAGTCCAATCCGTTCCGTTCAGAGTGGGGACGGAGCTGGCAGGGCAACAGCTGTGTGGATATTCCAGCCACACCACACTGTTGGCATTCCAGCTATGCAAGCTGTTGCCCTCGCTCTCACGCTTATGAGGGACATTTTGGGAGAAAGATGTACCCGAAAACAAGAGGCGTTTTTTAAGGAAAGTTTTATATAGCCATAGCATTGTATACTTTGGGCTCTTTTTCTGAGTACAAAATAGTCGGAAGGCTGTCAGCCAAAAGCGGGTGCAATATCCTGCATGAGTTTTGCAGAGCATTCATAAAAGAATTCCCAGAGGTAGTCCACAAACCGAGTTTTTGTGCCTGAGAAAAATCTGACATATCAGATGTTTTGTTGTTGTTTTTTTACCATTTTCATGTCTGTCATTGTTTACATTTTCGTAGTGAATTCCGATTTTTTTTTGTGAATGTCAGATATTTATTGTTGCATTTGACAACTATCGAAAAAATACCGACAGAAACGTGCGAATTAGGAACATCCCAGATGGATGGGCTGGAATGGTGGAATAACTGGGAAATTTTCGGAGCGGCAAAACCTTACGGACCATCCCAGAAATGGATGGTAGATGGTCGCCAGTGTGAAAAGGCAAAAACTTATTCAATTATTTAAAAATCGTTCGCGACTTTAATTCACGCTACTGAAGAAGCTCAGTGCTTCAACAGAATATATTAAAATTTTTTTGTCTTTCCATCATACAAATACGTGCGTTTTGTCGGGTAAAGTTTCGCAATTGACTCGTAGCGATATCATTTACGAGCGTTTGGTTTTCTGCGCATCGACATTCAAATTTCATAACACACATAATTTTCTACTTTAAAAATTTGTGACGTCGCTTCGTGACGTTTGTGTCGTGCTCGCCGAGCCGGGCTCACAGAAATTTGTTAGGTTTCTGGCTGTGAAAGGTGAAAGAGATAATCTAGGGTTCAAGAAGAAGTCGTGGTTTAGCATTACAATAAGGATCGTATATATTGCTTTCCGTCCGTCCGTCATGTTTGACGGCTAATTCCACTAGTCAACACGATTTTTCCTCAAGGAACAAAACGAACTTTTTCTTAAAGATTTGGGGCTTAGAAATGGTTTGATGATATTTTTTTTTTCTATGGCAGAACTTTTTTTTTAAGAATTTTTGAAAACTGGTATTTTTTTTAAGCTTTTTTCAGAGGTAGCGCTTGTTTTTTTCACATAACTCTAGTATCTTTCATCTGGTTGTTAAGAACTTTGCTATTTTGAAAAGGTAATTAAAACAGCTAGAAGTTAAGTTCGACTTTTCCTGAGTTTTTAAAGAAAAAATTTCGTCAAAAATACCGCACAAAAATCATAATTTTTGCATTTCAATGCTTTATATTTCCCAGACGGTAAGCTGAAATCACAAAGTATTTGGGCTTAACTTCTAGCTGTTTTAATTACCTTTTCAAAATAGCAAAGTTCTTAACAACCAGATGAAAGATATTAGAGTTATGTGAAAAAAACAAGCGCTACCTCTGAAAAAAGCTTAAAAAAAAAATACCAGTTTTCAAAAATTCTTCAAAAAAAAGTTCTGCCATAGAAAAAAAACCATAATTCTTTAAAAAATTTTAAATCCCCATATTTATCAGAAAAAGTCGGTATGGATCCTTGAGGAAAAAAAAAGTTCGATTTTGTCGAGTAGTGTTCTCAAAGACCATAAGAGCTGGGCAACCAAATGTTTTGTGAGACTTCGATCATATTTTATAAATAGAGAGAAGATGGAGGTATATTTATCAAAACAACGTAACTTTTGATTACCTGGGAACGGCACATAGCGCAACAAAAAGATTCCAACTATGATAAAAAAATATTCCAGATCCAATATTGATTTTCAATGGAATTAAACACCACGCGATTCCTAAAATACATAAAAAAATTTAGTTTCAAAATATATGAATATTACATCACAAAGGAAATGTAAAAATTGACTGACGTCAATCCAAAATTAAGCGTCCTTATAATTATTGAAACCATAAAACTATTCCTGTTTTTTTTTTTAGTGAAAAATCTTTTATTGCTGTATTATTACTGCTCAATGGTGACGAGAAAAAGAGCCAAGTCCTTTTTGAGGTGGTTGGGATCTATATTAAATTCTAGAAAATAGAGAGTAAGTCATCAGTGGCTCCTAACCTAATCACCCCAACCGAAAGACTGCAAAGGTCAACTCTATGTCACGGGCATAATAAGTCGCTTAACGACTGTCGAATTAGCCTAGCAGTAGAGTGATAAATTCGAAAGATATTATGCATTTAATGGTTTTAAATTAGAGATACAAAAAATAACTTAAGTTTACATCATTTAAATTTCCAGATTCTGCCGGTCCAATTATTTATATTAGGTGGCAGCCCCAATTGTGTTATCGTGTGTTAACGTCAATGTCAAAAAAGAAAATAGGTCGCTCTATTCGTTCTTCTTGTATTTTCTTCCTTCTAAGAAGATCTCTTGCTGCGTAACTTTATACAAAACAATCCTTCTCAGATCCCTAATGAAAAACAATAAACTAAACTAAGACCAGCATTTCACAAAATTATTTTTGAAAGACTACAACTCTGAGCTACAATTCTCATTGCTGCGCGTGAACTCCGAAAAAAGTGTCCGAAAATTGAAATCTCTAGATATCCTGTGGCACCTACGGATTTTTCGGTTGATTTGACAAATTTCTCGAGTCAAAATCTGTAGAGATTTCTGTGGCAACCCTGATTATGTAATATTAATAAATGCATAAATATGCGACTAAACATTCTCCCGGCCGTTGACCTGGTGTTCAACCATCGCCCAAGTCGAATGAAAAGCGGCGTGGAATGGGGATCGCCGGTGATGATCTGCGTGGCTCTCCTTGGTTGATTGTTGACGGCCTTGGGTTCCATGTTTGATACTTCTTCCGGAGAATGAACGCAATAATCAATAGCATTGATATTGCTAGGGCAGCATAAGTAGCGATTTGATGATGCTGCACTGTGTTGATATGGTGTGGAAGCCTTTGTTGATTGATTGCCACTAATTGCAGGCGAAGATCTTCTAATTCTTGAAGATAGTCTGATGTCTGGTTCTCCAATTGTACAGTTGCTGGCGAAGGGGGTGTCGTTGGTAAGCGTATGACCCCAAATCGAGTGTAGGTTGATTTGATTTCACTGATTGTTGTGCTGAGGGTACTGATGCTTATTTCTGTATTGCGAACAGTGCATCCAAATGATAGTGAGAGTAAGCCAGTTCCTTCCAGTGTATGGTTGGAACCCGTTTCTGCCGTCCATTGTAGGTGTGTGAAAATCCATTTATTTGGTGGTTTGGCCACACCATGTCCGCCTTCGTGTGGGTCACTTCACATAACGGTGCTGTTTTATTGTTAAACAACTGAAACTCACAGCGATTGTCGACATTGAAGACTGTTTGATGATCAAAGCAGATGTATTCTGCGTTAAGTAGCTTAAAGCAGCGTCAAAATTCTTCTGGAGTAAATCCCATGGATTGATCTCGGTGAGTGTTCACAGTGATTATGGTCGTTTTGAGATTGAACAAGCTCCAACTTGTTGAGTTCCAGACCGGAATCGGCATGATACTGAAAACATCGAGCTGAACTGTTGAAACTAACGGTAGTGTCACCTTGAAAATGACGTGTGTGGCAGTCAGTGTTGATTCGGCTCGCATGAGCCTGTGTAATTGTATCACATTTTGTGTTGTGACAGGTAGCATTTGATCAGCTGGCAAGTGATCCCGGATTTGGTCTAGTTGCTCTCTTAATTGCTCAGGAGATACTAGCGTTGGGCTTATTGTCCGATGGTGAATGCCGATTAATACATCATATATGTCAGACTGCATACGTTGAAGACTCGTTGTCAGCAGAGTTGGTTGTGCTGTGAGCCCTAGGTATGACTGAATTAGATGATCGCCGTGATATGTTCCTCTTTCTCGGCTGATGGTTGCCACTTGTTGTTCCAATACCTTTAGGCGGTTGTCCATGGCTGACTTTTCCTTCTTGATTACGTTCATTGTGGAGTCGACAATTGGCGTTTGATTTTGTAGTAGATGTAGCAGAAAGTCTTCGTTGGTTTGTATCTTTTCGATTACTTCGGCCATTTTCTCAGCATATGTAGAGTCAAGTACACCAAAAAGCTGGTGTGCCACGTTTCCTACTATATCCAGCGGTGATCTGCGTTGTCGAGAGGCCTTCATTAGCATATTTCCTGTTTGTAGTTCCTTGTACAAATGTTGAAAGTGTTGAAATATGGAGTTGCACGCTGGGACATTTTTTAGTTCAGGGCACATGTGTCTTAGTTCGGACATTCCGGCTGACATATCCTTCCAATATGGATCCAAGTCGTAGCATATAATCATGGTCCATTCGGAAGTGGTCATTCTTGATGTTCCACGTTTCTCATAGAATATTCCAGGCTTGTTTGCAAATTGCGTTACATTTATTGATTGTGAAAATGCTAAGTGCAGCATGAGAAGTAACACTAACAATGTGGATGTTAGTGGAGGTAATAATAATAACCTTTGTGCAGACACCGGACGATGTTTTGACATCAACCACTCGTACGTGGTTGTCTTGCCCAGGATAAGTGTTGATGATGCGACCCATTGACCAATTTATTACTGGAAGGTTGTCTTCCTTCACCAAAACTTATAATCCTTCGGTCACGTTTGGAGCGGTGGTTTTTCATTTATGCCGAGTTTGTAGTTCGTGGAGGTATTCCGTAGACCATTGTTTACAAAATGCATGTTTTAAGCGTGACACCAATTCCTAACGCTTAACCAAAGTTTTTTCTTGACGATCAGTGTTGACGTCAGGGGCTGCGGTCAAAGGTTGCCCGATCAGGAAATGCCCTGGAGTAAGTGCCCTTGTATCCGTTGGATCGTTTGACATAGGAGTTATGGGTCAGGAGTTGAGGAAACGTCAAGGATGGTGTTTCTGTGATTGTAATTAGCAGCCTTTTCGCTGATTTTGCCGCATCTTCCCAGAGGCCGCCAAATGACGGGGACCGAGGAGAAATGAATTTAAAATTTGTTTTTTGTTGCAATTATTTGTGATCAGAGAATGTGCTTTTCGCTAAATATTGCTTCTTCCAATTCCTTTAGCTTGTTATTTGCGCCGACGAAATTTATTGCGTTGTCGCAATGAATAGTCTGACACAGCAGACGTGGCTGGTGGCAGCAGAATACGACAATGTATGATTTATCTGGCCGTTTTCTTCGGATTTTACAGTGGATCATAATTGGTCCACAGTAGTCAACGCTGGAAGATTAGCCATGAGCCGGTGCATCAGCTTTGGTCTGGCTCTGGTGCATCTAATACAGCTATGTATGATGCTTGTAGCCATTGTAGTATGCTGTAACACTTTGTTGCAGTTACGTAAACAAGTCCCAGACATAGCTCGGGTGAAACAAAATACGATCACCCAGCTGTGCCTCGAGCGACATAAATGTATCGTCAGCATATTCTCATAGCTTGACGATGCATAAAGTACACGCGCATCCGATTCCCCTCGCGCCCCCCGCTATCAGCAGCGCTGGGCATATATATAACGAATATATAAATGCGGCCGCTACGCTGCCGGCATTCCTGGCAGCGCAGCTGCGCGGCCTTAGCTTAGGCTACCACAAGATCTATATCGATATAACATTCAATAAACGAATAGCTAAAGAGACGGATGTCTCTGCGGATACATTCATTAAAACATAAAAGAACATCATAATTACATGGCGACCGTGACAGCGGTTCAAATTCGAACCGTGCATTGTGAAAAGTTAAAACAAAAACTCTCAAATTAAACAAAAAGAATCCGAATGTGATGTGATAATTTATTTAAAAAAAAAAGGAGAATTCATTCATGGGAATGAAAATAAAAAACCTTCACATACCGAATTAACAAATAAACACACAGTGCCAAAATGTAAAATAATACAATACAAATAAAACAAAATAAAGAAATAAAAAACCAACAAAAAGAAGATAAAGACCTGAAAAGGCACCGACAACGCTACATAGAGCGTACTTCGATAACCTGTGCGATGACCGGCACCGTCCCCGCCTGAGCCCATAGGCCCCGGACAACTGCAGCTGAGTACCGGGCACGCCAGAAGCCGCAACAGCCCAAGCAAAATAAGAAGCGGGGAGGAAAACGGATAAAACTGCTCCGGCAACGTAGGTTGGTCCAAAACGTACTACAGGCAGCAACAAACAGCGAGGACCAGGAGAAATTAAAAAACCAACTGGAGGATCTAAACAAAAATCTTTGCGATGCAAAGTAGCGCAATGTAGGCTGCATTTATGCCAATGCCTGAATTGCCAATAACACTACTCGACAAAATCGAACTTTTTTTTTCCTCAAGGATTCAAACCGAATTTTTCTGATAGATATGGGGATTTAAAATTTTTTAAAGAATTATGGTTTTTTTTCTATGGCAGAACTTTTTTTTGAAGAATTTTTGAAGTCTGGTATTTTTTTTTATGCTTTTTTCAGAGGTAGCGCTTGTTTTTTTCACATAGCTCTAGTATCTTACGTCTGGTTGTAAAGAACTTTGCTATTTTGAAAAGATAATTAAAACAGCTAGAAGTTAAGCCCAAACACTTTGTGATTACAGCTTACCGTCTGGGAAATATAAAGCATTGAAATGCAAAAATGATGATTTTTGTGGGGTATTTTTAACGAAATTTTGACTTTAAAAACTCAGGAAAAGTCGAAAAAAAATTATATCTTGTGTCCTCTATTTTTTTGTGTATAGGTGCGCTAATTTGGCGTCGTTTAAGGTATCGCTCATTAAAATCTATGGAGAGACTTTGGAGCTAAAATTCGTTAACTAAACCTAAAATATGGAAAAAATGAACAAAAAATACCTTTTGGAAGGTTGCGAGCTAAACTGCCCAAATTAGTGCACCTATACAAAAAAAAATTGAAGACACAGAATATAATTTTTTTTCGGCTTTTCCTGAGTTTTTAAAGTCAAAATTTCGTAAAAAATACCCCACAAAAATCATCATTTTTGCATTTCAATGCTTTATATTTCCCAGACGGTAAGCTGTAATCACAAAGTGTTTGGGCTTAACTTCTAGCTGTTTTAATTATCTTTTCAAAATAGCAAAGTTCTTTACAACCAGACGTAAGATACTAGAGCTATGTGAAAAAAACAAGCGCTACCTCTGAAAAAAGCATAAAAAAAAAATACCAGACTTCAAAAATTCTTCAAAAAAAAGTTCTGCCATAGAAAAAAAACCATAATTCTTTAAAAAATTTTAAATCCCCATATCTATCAGAAAAAGTCGGTTTCGATCCTTGAGGAAAAAAAAAGTTCGATTTTGTCGAGTAGTGTAATATGCGCCATAATGCTTCATTTGAACTGATGTATCTGACCATTTGAAATTGAGTGATTTCATCGGTAACATTAACAACTGCTCCAAAAACAGCCATATCACTGCCCTTGTTGATGTATTTGCAAATGTATTTACTAGATTGAACTGAATTGCAGACCTCTACGTTTATGTGCGCTTTATAAATCTTAGATAATAACGGTGAATATGGCACATCCCAACGATTACACTAGTCAACACGATTTTTCCTCAAGGAACAAAACGAAATTTTTCTTAAAGATTTGGGGCTTAGAAATGGTTTGATGATATTTTTTTTTTTTCTATGGCAGAACTTTTTTTTAAAGAATTTTTGAAAACTGGTATTTTTTTTAAAGCTTTTTTCAGAGGTAACGCTTGTTTTTTTCACATAACTCTAGTATCTTACGTCTGGTTGTAAAGAACTTTGCTATTTTGAAAAGATAATTGACGCAGCTAGAAGTTGATGCCAAACACTTTGTGATTTCAGCTTACCGTCTGGGAAATATAAAGCATTGAAATGCAAAAATGATGATTTTTGTGGGGTATTTTTTACGAAATTTTGACTTTAAAAACTCAGGAAAAGCCGAAAAAAAATTATATCTTGTGTTATCTATTTTTTTGTGTATAGGTGCGTTAATTTGGCGTCGTACCAAATGTACAACCCTTGCTCGTTTGCTTTGTTCCCAATTGGCAGTTGGGCCCGCCGCCTTCAAAAAGGTATTTTTTGTTCATTTTTTCCATTTTTTAGGTTTGGTTAACGAATTTTAGCTCCAAAGTCTCTCCATAGATTTTAATGAGCGATACCTTAAACGACGCCAAATTAACGCACCTATACACAAAAAAATAGAGGACACAAGATATAATTTTTTTTCGACTTTTCCTGAGTTTTTAAAGTCAAAATTTCGTAAAAAATACCCCACAAAAATCATAATTTTTGCATTTCAATGCTTTATATTTCCCAGACGGTAAGCTGAAATCACAAAGTGTTTGGGCTCAGCTTCTAGCTGTTTTAATTACCTTTTTTTTCAAAATAGCAAAGTTCTGTACAACCAGACGTAAGATATTAAAGTTATGTGAAAAAAACTATCGCTACCTCTGAAAAAAGCTTAAAAAAAAATACCAGACTTCAAAAATTCTTCAAAAAAAAGTTCTGCCATAGAAAAAAAACCATAATTCTTAAAAAAATTTTAAAGCCCCATATCTATCAGAAAAAGTCGGTTTGGATCCTTGAGGAAAAAAAAGTTCGGTTTTGTCGAGTAGTGTTATCAATCTCCAAATCTTGATTTTTAACTCTCAAAGTTACCGAATGGCCATTATCTTCAGTTGATCGACGCCGATATTCGGGATATCCATCGTTGCCCGTCACTGTATCGGAGACCAAATTTTTTTGGAAAACGTTTGGAGCATTTCTCTTCAACCATACAGGGTGAATTCAAATTCAACGCACCACATAGACCGTGAATCATATTTTTGGTGATCACTTCAAACAATTCAGGATCCACTGTCGGATCTGGAATTTCTGCCGAAATCACATCGTCAATTTGATTCGGCCTTATTTTTTCAATCAGCCAAATTAAAATATGCGCATGAGGCAAACCTCGTTTCTGCCACTCAATTGAATACATCCAACATTGAACAGACCCAAATGCACCGTGTTTGACAATTAAATCCATGAGTGATTTCAATTTTTGTCTAAAAAAACGTGCTAAAATATCATGGCGATCTTTCGATGTTTGGCCAACAAACAATAATTCCGAGATTTCTTCCCATTGCGGATTACACGTGAAGGTGATGAAGAGGTTTGGTCGACCGTAACGGCGAACGTATGACGTCGCATCTTGCGGGTACTCAAACATACGACGTGGACTTCCAACATACGATGACGGTAATATTATCATAGTTCCAACGTTTTGTGCATTACCATCGTTGTTAATGGCATCACGCAAATGAACATACTCTTCGGAACGTAATTTGGATTGGTTGAATCGAAAAAAATTTAACCGTTCCGATTCAATTTTTGCATACATGTCAACAATATAATGGTGGAAAAGTGCTCTACACCTCAATATGTGGTTGTCTTGATTTTGCCGTATCTGCAACATGTATGCGTAATAATTCATAGCACTAACTTTCTTTGTTCCTTCTCGACCGTTTACTGGATTTATCATTTTAATGTTGAAACTATAGCCATCTTGTCCGCTCCAAAGCAATATGGGATATTGTAGTGCATCATAACAGCGATGAGTCTCGGATACACGTTCAAGTTGTTCATTTCTACGATGAAGCACAATATCACGATTATTAAATTGCTCACCAACTATGAATATTGCCACTTCGTCAACTGTTTGTGCATTTAAACGCCTTGCATGTTCGCCAACCGGTGTTTTATCAGCTCGAATAACAATTTTATGATCGTCAGATGGCATTCGATCAAGCGATGTTTTGAAAACCTGAACCAATTCGTTGTGCTCATGGAACATATTTTGCAAATCGAAAATAATTTGTCTCCGCGTGTTGGTAATAATGGCACACCGACGATCAGCTTCGTCTTCCGCGTTCCCGATAAAATATAATTGGAAAAATTGGTGGTCCCGATGGTATATTTGACCTTGAATCTGAATCAAATATATGCTAGAATGAGAACAAACGTACAATTTCCATAAACAAAACTATTTAATTACCTTGAAGGTTGGCATGAAGTTGTCTCTTATAATATTTGTGGCGCCAAAAGATGTCATTTGAAAACTCGAATTATAATTTCGTATATTGTTCAAAAAATGATTAGACTCAGGTGTCAATCCATTAAGTAATGTGCTCAATGGTTGTGGTGGGCTGCCTAATTCAGGCAATTTCACTTTACCACTCGCACAGCACATCCCATCTGCTTCACCTTTAAATTTTAATGCCTGACAATGGCGACAACGGTCGTTCATTGGACCAATTATAATTTGCCTATGAGAAGCGTAATCGGTGACACTACTGTACGCGAACGCAACACCTTGTAGATTTTGAATATCACGACGTTCATTTGCAGTTGTTGTTGCATCATTGTTCCGTTGATTTGAACGGGACCTTGCTGTGCATAGACGACTATTTTCATTGCGATGTGTAATGTCTTGGCTACTTTTACGGCTCCTTGAAGCCACAACTTGAAACGAATTTCGCGTTCGCCGACACAAATTTAAACGTACACATTTTCAAAAGCAACAAATATACTATCACAAATTGCAATTTTTTCAGAAAACAAATTTTCACACAAAAAGTTATAAAAAACAAAATCTATCATCAAATGTTCTGTTCTACAAAATGACAAAAAATGAAATGAAGTAGGCGTTCAAACACACATTTTTAGACCAAATTTTGTGATTTTTTTTTGATTAATTTTTAATTTTTTTGAAAACTTTTGTAATGAAAGAATGCCGCATACTCTGGCTATCATTTAAAAAAAACCGCATGCAATTTGGTGCACGCGTTGCGGAGAAATGAAATGAAATAGGCGTTCAAACACACACTTGTGGACCAAATTTAAGATTTTTTTGATTCATTTTTAAATCTTGAGGAACCTATTTATAGAAAAGTACAAATTTGTTTGTGCAAACCAGGTCACATTCTCTGGCTATCATTTAAAAAAAACAGCATGCATTTTGGTGCACGCGTTGCGGAGATAGCCGCTTACACACAGATTTTTTCTACAAATTTATAGTATAGATAAATGGAGAGATACAAATTTATAGTGCATCATCACGTGAGAACGGCTAGGCATGTTTTTTTTCGACTGGTGCACTCGGACGAATATACACATTTCATCCACGCCAAGACGAATGATTCTATCTTCGCTTGCTTTTGGTGAACATTAGAGGCCCTACATCCTTCGCTTCCTTGCGTACTGTGGATGATGTGCTCGGCGACACTTTTCGGGATGCTTGCCAACGTTTGAATTTGCTCGAAAACGATACACATTGGGACTCAACGCTCGCCGATGCAACTGTTTCTGCGCCAGCGAATAAAATTCGTACATTGTTTGAGATCATCATAACCACATGTCAGCGTCAAAATGGGGCGAGACAACGTCCGCTGGGTAAAAGGGTATATTAGATTTGTGGTAATAGTGGATGTGTGCAACGCAGAGAAGGAAACGTTTCCGACCCCATAAAGGACATATGTTCTTGATCAGCATCAATAGCCGGGTCGATATGGCCATGTCTGTCTTTCCGTCCGTCCGTCCATCCCGATGAGCGCCTAGTTCTCAGAGACTATAAGAGCTAGAGCAACCAAATTTTGTTTCCAGACTCATATAATATCACACTGCTACAAGTGTATTTCACCTCCTCCAGTGCGAGACGCCTATGAAACTGTTTCTGCGTCAGCGAATCAAATTCGTACATTCCGATCATAGCCACATGTCAGCGTTAAAATGGTTCGAGACATCGTTCGCCGGGTCCGCTATTAAAAATATATATATACGAGTAGGGCTAGAGCAAACGGCGTATTTGCAGATTTTTTTTAAGAAATGAAACTCACCCGGGAGCAAAATTATTCCAAAAGTCCAGTAAAGTTCCATCCAACATAGAATTTTTTCTCTATGCTGTGTAGTTTGAAATTCACCCAAATATGGGAATATGATACTCATGGTTCCTGCAACACTGAGAAGAAAATTATTAATATATTAAAATCTATTTTTAATTTTGATACGCAATTTTAAAGGATCCTTATTCAAAAAACTTTTGAAATATTAGAGCGATTGAAAAATTTGTACAGTAAAAGGTGATGCAAAATCGAAAATCGTTTTGTAAAAAACGAAGGAAAATTGTTTTTATTTATGTTTAAGTGTTTTACTTGTATAAGAAGTGGAGGATAGTCCCCCCGCAACTCGTAGAACCGAGGTCTGTTTTGTTTTTGGTGGACTAAATAAGGTAAGTGAATAGGTATGAAACAAATTTGAGACCGAAACGGGTTTAATTTCGTCTATGGATTTTTGCAAACATAATTTTGCCTAAAGGCAACAGTGGACGTGAGTTGTATTCATATATTAAACGAGAAGGAACGTGTAAGTCGCTTCTGGGGATGTGATTCTACTTATACCCGTACTTAGTCAGTACATAAATTGTTGTGTTTCGGTATGGAGAAAACGTTGTGTTCAGGGTGAGAACTAAAATCGAACTGACTTTATTACTCTCTCAAGCGCTCTCTGAGCATACATACATTCGGGTGAGGTAGTGTTAGTGTGTATGTGAATACATTTCAATGGATCGTGAAATAATACTTATGTTGCTAACATATAACATATCTCTCCCCTTAAATTACGGTTTGTTAATGATTTTTACGTTTCCTCTAAGGCTAAGGTGAGTAGCGGCTGGGGACTCTGCGTTGGCGAGTGCTGCTACGGATGGGGATACCCGAACGTCGTTGTTGGGGTTGTTGTAGAACGTTTTGTGTAGATGCTGCAGGCACTTCGTTGGAGCCAGCAATAGATTGAAAATTCTGTACTGGATCGGATGACGGTTCTTCTTCTTGGGTTAGTGTCGTCGGAGTTGCGGGCGAACTTGAGACTTCAGGAGCCCACCAAAACTTATTGTTGTCCTCGTTGTAGCTGGAGCTGCAGTTATCAGGGTCAGATCTTGGCTTTATCTGGTTTATGTGGCGCTTGATGAAACCTGTGGATGAACGAAGGATAAATAACATACGACCTATAGGCCGATCGATGATAGCTTTTATCCACTTTTCTCCCCTTGCATAGTTTCTGGGAAAAACTTTCTGATTAGGAGAATACTTTGTTTGCTGCGTCTGCTTGCTTTCAGATCTCTTCTCGAAGAGTTGACTTAAGATCGTTCGAACCGGACGACCATGAAGAAGTTCTGCAGGTGTTTTTCCTTCAGAGTTAGGTGTGAAACGATACGTGCTGAGGTACTTTGTTACGGCTGTGTTGACTCGATATCCATCCTTTATATTTTTGCTGACGGACGTTTTGAATGTTTGGACGAAGCGCTCAGCAAGTCCATTTGATGCTGGATGAAATGGGGCGGTTGTGATGTGGCTTATTCCATGTAGCTGACAGAACTGATTAAACGAGTCGGATGTAAGTTGAGGCCCGTTATCACTGACTAAAGTTTTAGGATAACCCTCAATGGCAAAAATGGCTGTAAGTGCGGCTATAGTGTTCTCTGTTGTTGTCGCTGTCATTTGTACTACGAACGGAAACTGAGAATGTGCATCGACGCAAATTAACCACATGGAGTCAAATATAGGACCGGCAAAGTCGATGTGTATTCTTTCCCAGGCGGATGTCGTTTTTGGCCAGCTCTGGAATTCCTTTACTGGGGCTGGATTGCCTATCTTGCAAACGCTACAATCCTTTGCCATTGTTGCGATATTATCGTCGATACCTGGCCACCACACGTGTTGTCGTGGCAGTTGTTTCATGCGTACTTTTCCCCAATGACCCTCGTGGAGGATATTTACAATCTTATTCCGTAGTGTTTGAGGAATGATGATTCTATTTACGTCAGAATGGAGACATAGTAGCTTGTTGTTAATCGTCAGGGCGAATCTACGATTATAATATGACAACATTTCGAGATCCTGCTGTTGTTCTGGCCAACCAGTAGATACGAATTGATAGACCTTTTTTAGAGTACGGTCGTTTTGAAGATGTTGCAAGATTATGTCGGCATTTATTGGACATGACATCTCGACGACATTGTAGCATGCCTCTTCTGTGTCGAACTTTTCATCCGAGCTGATAGGAAGACGTGAGAGTGCGTCTGCATTTCCATGAGCTGTGGTGCTGCGATACCTTATTTCAAAGTTGTATGCCATCAAGATTATAGCCCAACGTTGAAGCCTGTTCGAAGTCATCGTAGGCAGATGCTTGCTTGGGTTGAATATCGTGACCAATGGCTTGTGATCCGTAATGAGAATGAACTTTCTGCCGTAAAGGTACTGATGGAATTTCTTTACCCCAAATACAATCGAAAGTGCTTCCTTTTCTATTTGGCTGTATCGAACCTGGTGGACATCTAAGGTTTTAGATGCAAATGCTATTGGTCTTTCCTTACCATCTGCTTGAGTGTGTAACAAGACCGCACCAATGCCATATGAAGATGCATCGGTGGCTAGAACAAGCGGCAGATGCTCGTTGAAATGTGCTAGTTCTGTAGCGTTGAGAATGTGTGCTTTTAAAGCTGTAAAAGCCTGCTGCTGACTCCGACCGAATTTGAAGACTACGTTCTTCCTTCGAAGCTGATTGAGCGGAGACGCTAGCTGAGAAAAATTGGGGATGAAATTGCAGTAGTAGTTAACTTTTCCCATGAAAGCATCCAGCTGCTGTAGATTAATGGGGGGCTTCTAGTCCCGAGGTATCCGGAAGGATGCCCTTGATGCTTACTCTTCTTCCGAGATACTCAATTTCGTCTCTCAAGAAGAAACACTTCTCCCTCTTACATTTAATGCCATTCTCTCGTAGAATGCGTAAAACTTGTTCGAGGCGGGCAAGGTGCTGCTCAACTGTTGGAGCTGAGATTATTATGTCGTCTAGGTAATTTCCACAACCTTCTATGCCACTCAGAAGTTGTTCAAGATGACGCTGGAATATAGCTGGAGCGCTCGCTATTCCATATGGTAAACGTTGGTATTGGAAGAGACCCAATGGCGTGCTGACGACCATAAGTTCTTTTGCCGCATCATCTAACTCCATTTGAAGATATGCGTCTTTCAAGTCGATTTTGGAGAAATGGGTGCCGTGACGGATCGTATGTAATAAAGACTCACGTGTTGGCAGTGGATATTGCTCGATGTCCAATTGTGAATTGACACCTTGTTTGAAGTCGCCACAGATCCGTAGTGCTCCACCTGGCTCGGGTGCTCGTACTATTGGTGAAGCCCAGTTGCTGAATTTGACTGCTTTCCAAATACCGGCATCTGTGAGACGCTTAACTTCCTCCTTGAACTTTTCCATTTGAGCAAATGGAATTGGTCTGCTTTTGTAGAATTTCGGCACGAAATTTTGCTTTAAGTAGATGCTTGCCTTAAAGTTTTTTATTGTACCGATAGCCGGTTCAAATACTTCTTTTTACTTGTTACAAAGATCAGTCATTTGAGAACCCTGCACTTGACTCACATTTGAATTTGTTGAATTTCGAAATTGAATGTCTGAAACACATCCATTCCGAACAGATTGTTTGAGTTTTCTACATTTGTCACGATTATGACAACATTTGCCAATTTATTGCCACACTTTGCCACAGTGTGCAATTCACCCAGAACGGGGATTTGTTGTTGGCCAAACGCATGCAAAATGCGATCACACTTCCGCAGCTTTGGACTTTTGAGTTGTTTGTAAGTTTTTAAATTCATAACAGACACAGCTGCGCCAGAATCCATTTGGAAAGAAATGATTTCGTTGAAGATTTGCAGGTCGATTACATTTTTATTTCCATCCAACTGCACCAGGTTTGACACGATGTGAATTGTTTGAACTGATTCTGCATGTTTTGCTTTGTTTTGGTATTTTTGGTGATCATTCTCTTTCCAGGTTTTTTCTTTCATATCTTTGCACTGCTTTGACATGCAAACGATAGCTATGTGTCCCTTTCTTCCACATTTATGGCAAGTAGCCTCGCGAAATTTACAATTTTCACGAGTGTGCGTGTTTCCACAACCGGAGCAAGATTTGAGAGTGTTCTTGCCTTCTTTTGTTTCCATACCACTTCGTTTCTGTTGATGTTGCTTATGTGTGTGTACAGCGTTCATGTCCAGTGCTTTGTTCTCTCTCTCCTTTATGACCGCGACTGTTTTCGTTGTTGCCTCGTACGTTTCGGCAATTGCGAGTACGTCAGCGAGGGAAGGCTGAAGCTTTTGCAAAGCGGCTGTGCGTACGGCTTCGAATGGCGTGTGTACAATTATTTGATCGCGTATCATTTCGTCAACATAATTGTATGTACACCCATTGGCGTTGCAAGCAAACTGACACTCACAAGCTATACCACGTAGATCAGCTACCCATTCCTTATGTGATTGTGAGTCCCGCATCTGACGTTTAAAAAATTCATATCGAGCAGCAACAATGTGACGCTTCTGTTTGAAGTGCTCCGATAATTTGTCTGTGATTTGTGTATATGACTGCTGGTCCAAATGTTCGCTACCAAACAAATTTTTTACAAGTTCAAAAACTTTTGAGCCTACCCACGATAGAAGATATGCTTTTTGTTTCTCGACGGAGGTAACGGAATACGCGGCGAAATGCTGCGAAATTTGTTGTAAATACGTCTCCCAATTTTGTTGATCCTTATTAAAACTTGGGAACGGCGGACAAGCTGTTAATTCTGCTGATCTATTAACACCATTGTTTTGTGCGAGCATGGCTTCCATCTATTGTTGTTGCTGTTGCATTAATTTTTCTGTGAATTGTTGCTGTTGAGCCAACAATGCACTTATGTCTGTGGAATTTCTATCCATTGTTGTTGTTTTATCCTCGTCGCCAAAATGTTGTGTTTCGGTATGGAGAAAACGTTGTGTTCAGGGTGAGAACTAAAATCGAACTGACTTTATTACTCTCTCAATCGCTCTCTGAGCATACATACATTCGGGTGAGGTAGTGTAATAGCCTTTTTACACTGGGCGCGTCTGCTATCGATATCGGCATAGA